TTATTTATTCTTTTTATGTGTGTACCGTCAAATCCAATCTGACTGGTACAGGAGGCGATTGTTCCTCCTTCTTCAGCACAGCATCTGGTGGATTTGAACCGCGTACCTCTAGGATTGCAGTGCAGTTTCCTGCCAGGCTGGTCTTTTTATGATTTTTGGTTTTATCCTCCAGTTTTCTCCCACTCTTTTCAGGGCTTCTTCTGTGTCTTTTTTCTGTGTCTTCTTCAGGCACCATCTCGTTCTCCTAGTCTCAGAGTGATGAAGGTGAAGGTTCAGAGAGTCCATGTCCTCGGGACTCACTGCTTCCTTGATTTTTATTTATTTTTTTTTAAACTCTGCAAGGGACAGGGAGAGACCAAGAGTTGTCTCTCAGATGGCCACTTAGCTCACTTTTAAAATCACGTCACCAGCTCACCAAAGCAGAATGTAAAATACTGTCTTTATGTACTGTGGTTAGCCTACCTTTCCAAGTAAAGGTGATTACTTTTTCTATTTAAAGAATGGTGATGGGATCTAAATCAGGATATGTGTAGGTGGCTTTGAGTAGTCTTAGCATTTTGTGTTAAATATTCCTATCTATGAGCATGGCATTTTCTGCCATTTATGTAGACTTCTGATTTCTTATTAAAAATTCTTACAAGAATCTCCTGTAAAGATTTCTTGTGTTCGGTATTTTTCTTTATATATGTCTTTTGGATCTGTGGTTACATTTGTATATGTCTTTCTTGTCCAAGATTGCATTTGTTCCTAAGCACTTCATCTTAAGGTGTTACTGTAAATGGTTATCATTTTGTTTCATTTATAGCATTCTCTTTGTTACGCTACAGGAATCTAACTACTTTTATCCTGCCAGTGTGCAGCCTCCTCTATTACTTCCAGTAGTTTTCTCATGGAGTTCCTGAGATATTCTTTCTGTAGGATCGTTATCTGCACATAGCAGTACTTAGACAATTTCTTTCTTAGTTCAGTTGGCTTTTCCCTTTTCTGTCTTACTGCTCTGGCCAGGACTTTTTCGTTTTAGCAGGAGTGATGATAGTGCTTCCCCAATCTCAAGACAATTCTTTTTCAGTCTGTCTCTATTGGAGAATAGTCTTAAGGCGCTTTGGTGGTGTGGTCTGGAGCTTGTTGTACTGCTAACCAAAAGGGTGCACTTTAACTGCTGGTTCACGTCCATCAGTGGCTCTGGAGAAAGGTGAGCACTCTCTTCCTGTAGTGATTTGCAGCCTCAGAGAGCTGATAGAGGGTCCCTGTGATTTGGCAGTGAGTTTGAGGTGGTGGTGGTTTGGTGGGTTTTTTCTGCTGTTGTGCTGGTGGTGGTGGATTTTTTCCATTCTCAAGGCAAATATTTTCAGTCTCTGCCATTGGATGATTGGTTTTTGTTCGGGGTGAGTGAGTTAAACATTTTTATCAGGAAGTGATCAAATACAATTTCTGCATTTGTTGTTAATGATCATACTGTTCTTTAGTTCTATTTGTGTGTGTTTTTATAATGTTAAGTCATCCTTGCGTAACTAGTATGAATCCTATTTGGTGATCATGGTGCGTTATATTTTTATGAATGTTTTATTCTTTTAACTAGGATTTTATTGACAGTTTTTGTATCTGTGTTCATGAGGAATGTTGGATTGTAATTTTCCTTTTTCAGTGGTATCTTTTTTCCTGACTTTGGTATCAGGGTTATGCTTGTTTCATAAATGAATTTGAAATGAGAGCATTCTGTCTTATTTTATCGGTTCTGTATTTGTTCTCTTGCCCAACAGTTTTTAAGCAGAGTGTTACTCTGTTTCCATGTATTTTTAATGTATTTTAATTGTCTCTCCACTCCAGCACCTTGTTCTTCCTAGTTCTCAACTTTTGTATTCCAGTCACCTATTATTATTAATCTTGATTGCATGCTCGTTCAGTTTCTGACTGCAAAAGTTGGTAGAAATCATCTGTTTCCTCCTCTTTGGCACTGGTTGTTGGTGCATAAATTTGAATGATCATGGTATTGTTACCTAACATGATTATTGTGGAAAATTATCTACATGTACTGGAAAAGCATATAAATTGTGCTGTTGTTGCTGGCGTGTTTTTTATGTGTCTTTGAGGTCAAGTTAGTTGATGATCTTGTTTAGATCTTCTGTATCTTGGTTTCTTTCTAATTCTTTACTGAGAGTGGTCTATTAAAGCCTCTTGTTACTGTGATATCTGTTTCTCTTTTCAGTTCTTTTTATGTATTTGAGGACTCCAACTGGGTGCATATTTACTATGGTTAGGTCCTCTTGTTGGATTATCAGCAATCCATCAATAGGACCAGTCAGTCAGTCATTGTATAATTCCCTTCCATGTCTTTTGTTGCTGTCTTGCCTAAAAGGCCATTTTTTCAGAAATTAACATTGCTATTTTATATTATGGAAACAGCATTCTGATTGGACAGGAGCCAGATGATTCAAAATGACCACATTGTATTGGATGGTTCTTTGTCACAGCTTCTGCTCAGTTTCTTCTTCATATGGTATCTGATATACTTCTTTAGAGTTTCATTTCTGTTTGAGGTCACAGGATTATTACCTGTATCTGGTTCCTTTGGTTGCTCAAATCTCTGAGAGGTTCAGTGTAGTATATGTGCCTAGTTCACCACCTTAACATAAATGGATGTCAGCATTCTCATTTAAGTTGTGTCCAGGGACTTTCAGGAGTAGTTTTCACCTAATTGTGAATGAAGGATAATGTAAACACAATGTATACAAACTTTGTAAGCAAACCAATATAAAATAATTTAAAAAAAAATAGTTTTTACATGTGCCTGTTATTAGCCTTAGGCCAAAGGTCCATGTACAATGCAGTTCTGTCATGTAACAATTTTGAAAATAAAGGAGATAGCTACAGAAGTACATCTGAACTCCCGACCTCAAAAATACTAAACTGTATTCCTTTTCTGTTTTTATTGTAGGTGCTTATAACAATGCAGGTCTGGTTCCTCTAGCCAATGTCATAGCTCCAGGTGTCCCTCCTCCACCGCCATACACTCCTAATCCAGTGGGAACAGGTAAAGGTACATTGATATGTGGTATTAAAAATAATTAGTGCATTCTAGATATGCAGTTGAAAGTAATGGCTGTTTGACCTCATGGGTCCTCAGAGGTAGTCCAAGCTTGAGACCTGAGTGAGTCCCCAGTGGACTCCATATCCCCATTTGTAACACAGGCTACTGTTAAAGTTAATAGTGGTTTTCAAGAACATACATATTCAGTGAACATTTGATGACTGTGTATCCCTGGAATACAAAGGTGAATAGAATGTAGTTCTGTTTGCAAAGAAATTGTAGTCCTTTGAGAAAGTATATATATATACTTGTTGCCATGGAGTTGAAGCTGACTCATAGCTGATTCTACAGTGGGTCTTCTAAGATATAAATCACACGGGAGGAGATTGCCCATCTTTCTCCGATGGAGTTGCTGGTGGATTTGAACTGCTGGAGAGGCTCCACCTTTGGGTTAGCAGCGCAACTCCCTGTGGATTGTGCTCACCAGTCACTGCTGATGGTCAGCATTTAAACTTACCAGCTGCTTTATGGGGAAAATGACATCATGATCTATTCCCATAAAGATTTCAGCTCTGGAACACCTCTAGGGCATCTCTGCTTTGAGGAATGATAAGGTGGCACTGGGGAGTGGAAAGGTAAGAATGAAGTGGTCTGTCAGTAGACTGTAATGGCCCTGGTGGAGCAGTAGTTAAATTACTATTCGCAAAAGGATCCACAGTTGTAGAGTCCACCTCTGTGAGCATGAGAAATCACTTAAAAGACATAGTTGGGGAGTGAGGTATAAATGCCTTTGAGAATCTTAAGTAGCTTTGTTCAGCACAAGCAAAGTTTTAAACAAAATCTTCAAATGATTAACAGTGTACCATAAAACAGAAGGTAGCAGTTACAAGCAGGAGTATAAACATTTCCTCAAGACCATTCTTTCAGTATAAACATTTACCAGTGGATTTACAAGGGACATAATCCTAATTGACAAGGCTTTGTTTCAGCAGAATTTGCAGTTTCTCCTGTTATCAAAACTGCTATCAGCCACTATGCAGGTTTTCCTGTTGCCAGGATGGCTGAGGGTCTAAGTAGCCCAACTCTGTTTAAAGTATAACATGTCTTAGCTCATCCACTGGTCATGTCCTCTTTTAACCGCACACACAGTTCAACTCCACCCGTGACTCCTCAGAAGTAAAGACCTGGCAGTCTGCTCAACTGAAGACTTACTATTAGATGCCATGACTGGGATCTGACTCACAGCACCTCTGTGTACAACAGAGCAAAACACTGCCCGGTCCTGTACCATCTTTAGAACTGTTGCAGGTTTGAGCCCATTGTGGGAACCACAGCTTCATTCTGCCTCCTTTAAGTTTCCTTCTTTTTTACTGACCACCTCCTTTACCAAGCATGATGCCTCTCCAGGAACTGTCTCCACCTAATAACAGTCCCATAGTAAGTTCAGACAGAGTCTCACAGTCCTTGCATCTCAAGTGCATTCCGACTGAACTTCTTTAAGAAAGATTTGTTCATTCTTCTGGAAAGATAGTAAACATCCATCAACATCTGTAGCCTAGAAACCCCTATGAAACAGTTGTGTTCTATGCCACAGGGATGTTTATGAGTCAGAATCAACTGGACAGTACACTTCATCAGTGGTTTAGCATTTTCATTACCTGGCGCACTTAATAAAAACATTCAGACTTCTCTAAGCTTGGAAAGGCTGATTCAATGGATCACAGGCGCCTGCCATCTTTAACAAATATTCCAGGTGATTTTTTTTATGCAAGGTTAGCAAATACCAAACTAAGCGTATGAAAAACCTAAAAGGGATCAGAAGATCAGCTTTTTCCCCTCAGGGCTTTTTTAGTAATTGCACATTCATCAATACCCACATGCTTTCTACCTTCAAACCTTTACTGGAAATCTCTGAACAAAAGGGCAGGGGAACTGTAGGACATAAGCAAGGATTAATGAATGAATTTGTATAGGGGTAGGCATATTAACAAAAATACCCTGTCCAAGGTCAGTTTATTACACAAGGTTGGAAGGGACCACCTGGATGGGTCAAGTAAGACCCTGCCTGGCAGAGGCGGGGATGGGCTCAAATCCAGGCACCTATAGCCTAAGCTGTGCTGCTTCTGGGCATGATTGCCTCATTATTCTACCAAGAGACCCCCAGAAACAGGCTGGACCGAGAAGGGCTGGGGAGCGTTAGATCCTCGAGACAGAAAGTTGATAGTTTTCCCTTTATTGTCATACTGCTTTTCCAAAAGGCTCTACCAGTTTATCCCACCAGTGAGAAGAGTTTCCTCACACCCTTTCAAAATGGAAAATGATCGATCTTTCCAATCTGATATGCTGACTTTGTTTATACTTTCATTTGTGTCATTTGCAAAAGTTTAACTTACTAATATAAATTTTTATTTGATATTTCTCAGTTTTGAATCTTAGTAAACACATCCCTACCTTAAACAATCTGAAAGTAATCTTATATTGATATAAAAGGAAACTCTAATGATGCGGTAACATGGTGTTGTGCTCCCCACCCAAAGGTGATGCCTGCATGACAGTTCAAATCTACCAGTGTCTCCAAGGGAGAAAGATAGACAGTCTCCATGATGCAATTTAAAAAACAAAACAGAAAACCCACTGGAGGAGTTAGCTATGAGTCAGTTCTAACCAGATATGACAAAGTATCTATTACTACAGTTGTGTACCAGTCTCTATGGAGTGGCATTTATGATTTCCCCCCCCTGTATTTTTTCTCCCCCCACTAGTGCATGTAATTATTTATATCTTGGTTTGTTTCTGATATGAATAATCTAATGCTTGCAATCACCATTCATTTATTTATATATAGAAAATGAAGACCTTTCCAGTCAGTCAAAATCTACACAGAATCAAAGTAAGTACCAAACTTAATCCAGAGATACCGGATACCTGTTGTGGTTGTCTGTCCTGTCACTCACTTTGAGTTGAGGGTATTAGAAGTCCTTATGATTTGAGAAAAGCTCCTATTTAAAATGTCTAACTGTAATTAGTTTCTGCTAAAAGTAGTTTAACAAGAATGTAAATTGTATATCCATAACATGAACATCTTAATATTTAAAATCAGCCAGGTAACTTTGTATTCTGTTTGTCTTGACTGTGATGTATTCTGAGTGCTCTGGGGCACTAAATCCACCTTCACTTTATATTATATAATATTGGAAGCCTCAATTCTGATAAGTTTAATCCTAAAGATGTAGGATAATAAGATTTAATTATTTACTAAGTAGCATAGCTCAAAGCAGCAAAGAATTGGGGCCATTAAAGCAGGAAAAGAGAACTCTAGTGTCTTGGTGGTAAGAGTTACACTTCCCACCTAAAGGTTTGAATCCACCAGCTGCCCCGCAGGAGAAAGATGGGCAATCTCCTGTGTGATTAACTGCCTCTGAAAACCCCTGGAGGGTCCGCTGTGAGTCATTTCCAGCTTAAAAGCTCTTAACAACAACAAAGCAGCAAGAAATAGAATTGTTAGAGACTGAGATGTGAGTAGTGCCTCCAGATGGCAGCAGCACCATTTCAGTCTCCTAGTTAAGGGCTTGTGTGATCAACAAGAAGATGCCTTCTGAAGAGACTAGAAAACCAGAATGAGTTGTACTGCAAACAGCACATAACAGACAAGGGAAGAGAACTGTTTAAAAGGAATATATGCTTAGGTATTATTGGTATGACAAGAGTCCAAAATAAGAGCTGCATAGTTAGGAGGTGGGGGGGAGACTACAACAGTGAAAGAACTTTTTTCTAAAGAAAAAAGCATACTGGGGGGGAGGGGGACAGGGAGGAAAATGTGCAACAATGAATTAATGGAAATCCTGGTTCTTTATAAACTTTCATTTCAATCTTTAAAAAAAAACACAAAACAACACTAAGCTAACTCCTGGGCAAGAGTCTCCGTGGAGAAGTCCATTCTCCAAGAACTATAACTAGTATATTGCTTTTTAGTCAATGGTTCTAATGAAGGAAGCAGAATAGAGTAGAAACGGCACCAAGTGACGTCTGCACACCTGGTTTCTTGTAGATAAGGCACCACTTAGCTATGTGACCTTGGACAGGTCATGTAACTACATAACTAAAATGAATATGGTACAGCTATCAGGCCCTTTTCAATTTGAAGTTTATGTATTTATAAACTACTGAGTGGGATCTCCTGCTACATTTCTTTTCTAAAACAACTGTAAACTTTGTTCAGCATGTTATAGTACATTTTGGGCTTCAGTAAGCTCTGGTAACCTCATAGGTAAAAAGTTGGGTAGCACAACTCAAATCAGATTATTTGAATCCACATGCCCCAAGGGAAAAACGCAGTCTCCTCCTGTGTGATTTAGAGCCTCTGAAAACCTGCCAGAGGGTCAGCAATATGAGAGAACTATAAATGTTCCTCTCACACTGTTTACCTCTGTTGCTGTTATCCCTTCTCCACTTGTGGTTAACAGTGCATTTGCCACGTCAGTTACCTGAAGTCATTTGACTCTTTATTACGCACATATTAAAGAGGGGCAAATATATATAACTTAGGAGAGACAGCGCAAGAGGCAAGAGAGGAAAAACATGGATGAGATGGGTTGACTGGCTGGAGTAATGGGGTAGGTGTGTCACAGACTGCATTTGGCTCGAGAAGGGTTCAGAGCTGTTGTACATAGGGTCGCTATGACTTGGAGTTCACTTGACAGCACATTAACAAAAATAACGGTACCAGCAGTCAGGAGACCTCCAGACATTGCATAGGGATGGTCTCCTGTCAGGAACTTCTCCAAATTCCCGAGGAACAGTGATGTCAGTTTGAGGACTAAGGTGTGCCTGATTCAGGCTTGGCCTTTTCAGTCACTTAATATGCATCTGAGAGCTGGACAACAAATAAGGGTGACAGAAGAATTATTGATGTGTTTGAGGTGTGGTAGAGAACTGAATATCCTATGGACTGTGAAAAGAATAAACGTGTGCCTTGGAAAAAGTGTAGCTGGAGTGCTCCTTTAATACAAAGATGACAGTGTTTCATTTTACATACTTTGTTAGGAGAAGCTATTCCTTGCAAAGGGACATTGTGCTTGAAAAAGTCAATGGTTGGCAAAAGAGAGGAAGACCCTCAACCAGATGGATTGACACATTGACTGCAGCAATGAGCACAAGTGTGTCAGAGATTGTGAAGGTGGCACAGGATAGGACAGAGTTCAGATCTGTTGTTCATTAGGTCACTGTGGGTTATATCTGACTCAGCAGCAGCTAACAAATCCATGAAACTTTCAGTTGATGCTCACTGCAGTGGGAACACTCCGTTTACAGATCAGTCTCATGTGCAAGAGGCACTGAGATGATGGGGACATTAGATAACTAAATCTGGATTTTCACTTGGTACCAATCAGATCATCAGATACAAGCATTGTTACTTAATTCGGGAGAAAAGCAAACTATACCAAAAAAAGCTTATCTGAAGAGATTATCACAATAAAAACACAAAATAGCCAATATTGTAGCAAACTCTAGAAGTTTTGAGATTATGTTATTCTAATGTTGGCTCAGTCTGGAAACCTCAGTTTGAGTAATTGTGGTGTGTCCCATGCAGCAAACTTACTGAACACATGGGTGTTGTGAATTGTCTTGGCTGTAAAGGGAAATTTGACAAATTTTGCCCAACTGGAGCTTGTGGGACAAGCCCGATAAAAACTGTGGAGTGATGAGAACAGAGGCACGGGGGGAAATCTTTACATTTTAAGAAGTGGAAAACATGAGTATTTCTCTGCCAGTTTCTAAAGGTGTCCTCATTGAATTAGAGTGGGACTCAGAGCAGGCTATGTTACCTATGCTATGGTGTCAGATTCAGTTGCATCTGAGTTGACTGTCCATCTTTCTTTGTGCAGCAGGCCGGTGAGTTTAAACCACACATCTTTGGATTTACAGCATAGTTCCCTATCCCTGGGGCCAGCAGGGCTTCCTAGTGAAGATTGAGAGGAATTGGAATTGCACATTTTATTCATTGCAAGGGCTGATTATATCTGCAGGGAGCTCTGGTGCCTCATGCTGCACTGCTCACCCAAAAGCAAAGTGGTTCAACTCTACCAGACCAGAAAGAGGAGCATTTTCCTCCAGTGCAGTTTATGTGTCAACTGTGTATAAATAGGTTCTGATCGATGGTATTGAGTTGTTAAGTTTGCGTTTGATTTTCTCAGGTGTTAAGTACTGTAAAAATGTGGTGGTGGTTCTGTAAGTGGAAAGTGTGACATCTGAGCATGCTCAAGGCTTGCCTTTGTCCTCCCGCAGCATTTCCCACCCCCGCAAGTCAGCTCTTCTCTCCGCATGGTTCTAACCCTTCCACGCCCGCCGCGACTCCTGCCCCAACGGCCTCTCCAGGGAAGACGCCGAGCCACCCGGTGCCCGTGACGGTCCCCGCGGCTGGGATGAGCCTGGCCGGCGCGGTCCTGCCCGTGTTCCCGGGCCAGGTCTCCTCGGCGCTGCCCGCCACGCCCGTGACCTCGGGCT